TATTTCCACGAAAGTAAAAGCTGATTTAAACTGCAGTGTCTCTGTATGCTGGTTTGTGTGGCCTCCAACACAACTCTCACAACGCTTCGCTGAACGCACTCGCTCTCCCAACGGGGAGCTTACCTAACCGTTGCTAACCGAACAGCTGTATGTCGAGAACTACCTGCAGTAAACAACTCTCCTTTATTTATTTTTTTCCTGCAGGGATATTAAAGCAGGAAATATTCTTCTAACAGAACCGGGCCAAGTGAAACTAGCAGACTTCGGCTCTGCTTCTATAGCCTCTCCTGCCAATTCTTTCGTGGGAACCCCTTACTGGTAAGTGAAGCTGGTTACACTTTTCCTGCAGCCTTTCAAAAGATGCCGAACAAATGAGGGGAACTAAAGCATCTGTTTTGCTTTAAAATTCAATCCTGACCTTCAAAAAAGCTCCCACTATCAAACCAGTAGTGAACATAATAGGATACCCTTACGGAGGTGGACTCCAACTCCCAGAAGTCTTCAGTCGTCGTGGCTGTTCCTTAAGTGTTGCGGACTTCAACTTCCAGAATTCAGCTTTCACGTCTGTGGACTTCAACTCCCAGAATTCCCCAGCCAGCCAGTTGAGGAACTCTGGGAGTTGAAGTCCACAAGTCTAAAAATTGCCTACCTGCTCTGAATCAAGAATCTGTATGCAAGCATGGCACATTCCACCATCCCGGCACATCCCTGGATGCTGAAATTTGGAACAGGTGAAGCCACTTCCAATGGTTGTTTTTTTTTAATCCCCCGCCCTCCACAAAACAGGGGAAACAACTAAAACCAATCTACGATGCCAATAAGGGCCCTTTTGGGGGCACCAGGCATGCAAAAGAGCAAATATTTCAGAGAGTAAAATATTCAGACAAGCCTCGTAGTCTGGCAACTACTGGGGGAATATATGGGTAGTATAAATCCTCTACTCCAGGGGTATCAAACTTGATTTCATTGAGGGCCACATCAGGGTTGTGTTTTATCTCGGAGGGCCCCTGGAGGGCATGGGTGAGTGGGGCTCTCTACCAGCAAAAATGGAGCTCACGGGCCCCGTTTTCTGGTAGGACATCCTCCTGCAGTCCTCTACCAGCAAAAATGGAGCTCACGGGCCCCGTTTTCAGCTAGGACAAACTCCTGCAGCCCTCTACCAGCAAAAATGGAGCTCACGGGCCCCGTTTTCTGCTAGGACAACCTCCTGCAGCCCTCTACCAGCAAAAATGGAGCTCACGGGCCCCGTTTTCAGCTAGGACAAACTCCTGCAGCCCTCTACCAGCAAAAATGGAGCTCACGGGCCCCGTTTTCTGCTAGGACAACCTCCTGCAGCCCTCTACCAGCAAAAATGGAGCTCACGGGCCCCGTTTTCTGCTAGGACAACCTCCTGCAGCCTTCTGCCAGCGAAAATGGAGCTCACGGGCCCTATTTTCAGCCGGGATAGCCTCCTGCAGCCTTCTGCCAGCG